GTATTTTCAATATAAACAAGATTATTTTCCATCACCCAATGTTTTAGTATCGTACCTCGACTATCATCTTTCGGGCTTCCCCACTCACACAAAGTTGCATTAAAGTCTCCTGTCACTATTGTGTTGTGGATGATAAAGGTGGACAAATCATCTAAATTTCTCCGTTGACTATGTGGCCAATACATACCGATTACTCTTAACGGTTCTGTCAAACCAAGGATATCCACAATAACGGTGTTCGGGATCTTTGTTGGAACCTCAATCGCCTTGAGGTTTTTCCCAACAGCTATACACACACCACCTGAACGATTTAAACCAGCACTATATACCATATTATAGTCAGGGATTCTAAATTTATTACCATGTTCACCTACTTCTGTCAAAACGCATATAGAGGCCCCTACCAAGTGTACCAAGTCTATTACCTCTGTAACACGATTTTTACAACCTTCAACGTTATAAACACAAAAATTTAAGGGGATAGAATAAGTAAAAGGATTCTGAGGACGGCAATTAATATTCTTGCCTTCCCAAAGGGATAGAGTTTGTTCTAAAGATGATGATCCATACCACTCTCTAAGATAAGCTAGAATATTATCAGTAACCTGTTCTGAGAAACCCCAGTTTCTTAGTCGACATCTGTGATTTTCTAGTTTATTTGTCAATGATCTTGGATAGAAGGAACTTGCATTGGGGTTCAACTTCGAATTGATCATGAACAGGGATGAAACCTCACCGGCTTCTCCGTTTCTTCAATCAAGGTTGGTGTATTGGACGAGGGTGATGGTGGAGCAACTACATTGTTGTTATCAGGCACATTAGTTGGTAAAATCATCGATTTTGATGTTGATGAATAATAATCTGTATTATAATTAATACGAACCTGTTCAGCATGAATACGTAATGGACCTTCAAGATTTGTCAGAGCAGTTGAGATTTGTTTTCTTACTTGCTCATGAACATCAGGAATTATATCAATTAATGGGTAGAGTACATTTTTTATCAATTTCATAAATGATGAGTTAATAGTACATATGCTTACTTGATGCAGTTGGACATTTTTTGTGATTAACATAATTTGTTCATCTAACTTTTTAACAATCATGTCCTTCATTAATTTCATATCCTGTTTTAGGTCATCATTCATTGTGTGCAGCTTGTTTATGATAATATCGTTTGAAAAGGTATTCGTGGTTGTTGTACGTTGTGATGAAATATCCGGCCATACTTTGTTTACCTTAGACTTGATGTTGTTGTTGTTATAATTAGGTAAAACCGGAAAATCAGTATCATAAGCTGTTCCAATGAACTGAGATTGATGTTGTTGATGTACTTGAATAGGTTTACGATTAATAATACCATCATTTATTGCTTGTTTTACTTCCAGGTTCAATTTCTTCCTGTAGTGTTGAATAACCTCACACTTAGGATCAAGTGAGTGATGATCTTGTCCACACTGAGCACACAGTGGTTTACCTGAGCATGAACTTGTATGATCTTGATCGTAAACCTTTAAACAAATACGACATTTACGTTCAAGTACTGAACATGTTGCACGTGTATGACCAATTAACCAGCAATTTGTACAAAAAGTCATTTTATTTGCAGGCTGATAAACTGTAACAGGATAAAGACGATTACCAATTGATATTCGACCGAGTTTCAAAGCACCTTCATATTCCATCAGGTCAGAGACTGTAAAACGAAAATCATTTGTAGTACGATTGTAAGAATAAATAATTTGTTTAATGTTGTCTGCTGAACTTATTGATCGTTTAATTTCATCAGATACAAATTGAATAGAAACAGCTTTTGGAATATAACGTATTACCAATGTAAAACAATCCGGAACGAATTTTGGTTTAATAATCGACATTTTTTTCCCATTAATAGATGTTGGCCATGTATCCGAAAGTATAAGTCTAGAATAATCTTCCATATTATCTACTCCTAATTTCAAACGATGACCTGAAAATACAGCAACAGAAAAACCTGTTATAATAATCTTGTTTTTGATAAAATGTTCCTGAATAAGATCACATGCTATAATTGCTGATGGAAGATCACGTTGAGCAATATTTTTATCAAATTCAATAATAAAACATGGAAGATTATTTCCAACTGCTCTTCTTAATTGATCAATTGGAATTGAGTAATTTTTACCAGAAAGTGTTTTTGTTGTTGAAGAATTATAATTTGTTTTTGTTGTTGGAGAATTATAATAATTTGTTGTTGTTGTAGGAGAATTATAATGATTTGTTGTTGTTCTTGCATATATAGCTTGTGCTTCGTCATTCTTGCTTTTTTTCCTGTTTTCCTGTGATTTATTAAGTTGATCACGGGATCTTTTAGGAGTAGAAGATGTTGTTTCCTGTAGATGTAGGTGATTACTGGTTGTTTCTTCGTACATATGTGAATCATCTCTTCTATTATCAGTACGATGATTCATCATGTTAATATAATGACCATCTTTGTAAACTTGTTTATTTAATTTATTTTGAACATGATAATCTTCCTGTAATGGAACAAAAATTTGTCCATTATGTTCAAGAACCTGAATTGGTTGACCTTTGTATAACCTTGTACTTGTTGTTGCACCTATTAATGATGATGGTTCATGACGAAGATCAGTTGAATTTTGATTAATATCTTCACTTATGACCACGTTGTTATCAATAGTATCAACTCGATGTTCATTGAAAACATTATTTCTTTTATGTTTTCGAGAGCTCATAACTGAACTCACTTAATAAAAGAAATAACAGAAGGTACAAAGACCTTTATTGTCTTTTCTTGTAAGAGAAGAGACAAGGAAGAGTGAGAAGAATGGAAAAAAAAAAAAACGTCCAATCACCACGTATACAATGATAAGAGTGAGGCAGAAAGACTTATGAAAGAAGCTCCAGTAGAACAAGAAAATATAGAAATTAGCAAAGTGAAATCTTTAAGTGAATTATTCATGAATGAATCAAGACCTCATTTGGAACTATCAGAGTTTTCTGGAAGAGGAATCGAGTATTTATTTGAAATTAGTGAAAAGAGATTTATTCCATGGAGAAGTATTGCTGCTGTGGTTACCATTGCTGCTGTTCAAATGGCAGTGGGTGGAATTCTTATAACAACTGGATTTGGTGCTACGGTAGGATTGGGTCTAATAACTGAAGGAGCAGCAGATTTGTTCACTGCTTACCGAGCCTATAGTACGAGACAATTCAGTTGGTCAGATTATGGAAAGCAAAAAGCAGTAAGTCTTATTATTTCAGCAACTTCAATGGGATTCTCAGCCATCAAAGATGCAGGTAAAGGAATTCAAACTTTAGTGACAGGTGTAGGAGAAGAAATACTTGAACAAGCTGGTACAAAAGTAATAACAGATGGTAAAGCCGTAAGCCAAGTGTTAGTTATGACTGGAAAAAATTTAAAAAGCCTAGCTATTAAACAAATCGGAGTAACAGTTGGTGAAAATGCATTAAGGGAAGGCTTAACTAAAGTTGCAGATTTTAGCTCGCATTTTGTCTTAGAACAATTGAAGCCACAAGTTTCAGCATTAATACAAAGTAAAGTTAGTAGTAAGTTTTCTGAACCTAAATTACTAAAAATAGTGCGTAAAATGTATGCGATTGACTCATTTATTAAACAACAACAATTTAAAGATAAAATAAATAAATTAGTAGCTGAAATCATTAATCCCGAACATAATTTCTGGCGTAAACAGTGGGATTCTATTGGTGGTCCATTATGCAAAGGTCTTTTATCAAGTTCACAACACGTAGGTGGCCCATTTAGCATGGGTATGAGAATAGTTGGTACCCTAAATGGAATGTATCAAATTACTTTTATTATTGACAAAGTTCATGATCAACTTCTAGAGAAACTTTCACAAATTGATCGAGAGATTTTGTCAATAGATCAGATTGTACATCGCTATTGTGGAGTCAGAAAAGAAGATACCTACGAAATTGTAAGTCTTCTTCAAAAACAAGGAATATTAGATACAAATAAAGAATTCAATATTGAAAATTTAATTTCTACAGATCTGCGTATATTGGATATGTATCAAGACAAGGTTGTAAACTTTTTAAAGTCATTAGATAGTGTAGAATTCAATGATTTGAGTGAAATAATGAAATCAACATCAGATATGATTACCGAGCAAGTATTTAGAATTACAGAGTCTCAACTTATTTCACCATGGAGTAGTTATGGTATGGGTGAACTGACGAAAGCTATTTCAGAAAGAGTACAACATCATTTTATTGTTGATGAAAAACAAAATGCTGATAGTCAAAATAGAGAAAATCAAGAAAAAGGTGAGAGTAAATACAATACGATTGCAAAACAAATTCAATACAATGCCAGAGATTATACGATTGCATATAGTCAATGTGAGATTATTCATTATGCGCAGCAAAAAGATAGAACTAATCATGGAAAAATAGATAAAAGAACAAGAGATTATGCTGATAATGTTAGAAAAAATCAATCAGCAAACCTTTCTGATATGATAGCACTTGCTGCTGAACACAATTTAGACCTAAAATTAGTAGATGATCCTAATTATCAACCTACAGAAGAAGATAAGGTAAAAGGTACGAATATTGTAGTGGGGTGTGGGTGGGTGTGGGTGAGGGTGTGGGTGTGGGGTGTGGGTGTGGGGTGTGGGTGTGCGCGTGATTAAACCGGTTCCACACCCACATCGTCACACCCACACCCACATCCACACACCCACACCCACACCCACACCCACACTACACATCCACCCACACCCATCCCACGCCCACACCCACCCACACCCACACCCACACACCCACACCTACACCCACACCCCACACCCACACTCCACATCCACTCACACCCCACACCCACCTCACACCCACGCCCACACCCTCCCACACACCCACACCCACACCCACCAAAACTTTTTAGAAAAAACCTTATTTTCTCCTATGAGAGGTTCAGAAAAGCCTGTACAATATCCTTAAATCTCATCATAAAATCAATAAACTATAGTGCATTCGAAAGTAGACACTTAGCTCTATCTAACCAGCTATAAATCACAAAATCGACAAGTTTCACCAAAATTGACATTTTTTGGGAGAGGGGCCCCCTTAAGGCGGAGACCATGTCTTAAGAAGGCTAATTGAGGCGTATGAAAAATGTCGTTTAGAGACTTCGAACTTTCCTTGTTTTCATCTTGCCTCTAACTCGTTCTTGACAAGAATGAGGTCCGCCACGTGGTACACTGCGATTTAAACGAGAGACGATGTCTGAAAAAGACTTTTTGAGATACATTTTAACCGTCTTTTTAGGACTTCGAAATTTTCTTTCATATTACCTTAACTGTGACTCGTGACTGATCAGAATGAAATCTAGGGTGTCGTGCAGTGTTATATATAGAGGAGGTCATATGTCAACAACAAAGGCAATTGAAATTGGTGATTGTATTGAATATGATAATAGATTTCCATTTGCACTGAGTTTTATGTGATTACTAGCGAGAAATGGTAGGTGGGTGTGTGGGTGGGTGTGGGTTCATTTTTTCTAATCCGTAGTCACACCGACACACACACCCACACCCACACTCAAATCATATTGAAGTACGATATAGAGAATAAGCGTTTATTTACAGCACATACTTTCAGCTGAAGCTACTACGAGTTCATAGTTGGTCTCCACTGTCAGCGACACTCCTCTGATGCTTAAAACAGTTTGTGAAACGTTTTTTTTAGCATAGATTAAAAACTGTCCAAAAGGTGATGTTTGCCAAAATTCTGTAAGATATACCTTTGATAAATAAACAAAAGTATAAAATGTTAATCCCAAAGACGTATTACTTAATAGTAGCATCGCTTTCTCTGTGAAATACACTGCCATGGAATTTGGTCGTGAACAATTCATCCATCTCTCAAATATAAAATAGGGAGTAGTTGTTGAACAAACGAGTATTATTGGAACAAAAAAATCATAATGTTTTGATGCAATTAAAATTAATGATGAACGAAATGATTCATTGTTGACTAAGCTAAGACGATGTTCAATGAGATGCTTAAATATAACTACACATGCAATTGTGAATGAAAATAGTGGAACTATATAATTAATATATTCGAATATTACATACAATGTATAAGCAATTGATGTTAAATTCAATAAACAAACATTATGTGGATAATAATTAAAATCTTTTTGACCAAGTAAAATTAGTAATAGATTTGTTAATGGTATTAACAGATAAAGTAATATGGAAGAAATTAATGAACGTCGCCTTGAATCATAAAGATTAACAAATGAATATTCAATAAGAACACGCTCAACAGCAATGTATAAGAAAAGCCAAAAGAGACAGAAACGTAACGAACTTAAAAGTAGTGTATTAAGTACATCATATATTAAATGATTCAATTGTGATGGGTTTTTACAATTAAAAGCTAAATGGATAACTGCAATTTGGATTTCTGTAATACTAGCAATCACACCAGTTAAGGAAAACAAGATTAAGTATATTCCAAGATTTGTTATACGGATTTTTTTAGAAAACAGAAATACTTGTAGTGATAATAGATTACTTGCGAATGCTATTATACCAAGCAAACCATATATAATTATTTCGATGTCTATAGTATCAGTACAATTTTTTATATTTTCTTCTGATATGTTATAGATCGAAATGTTTTTTGAATGTTTTTCCATTTGACATAAATCACCAGTAAAACATTTATTGCAATATCATGCTGTTATTGTATGATTGGCTAAAAGAAAGCATTTGTCATTATTTTGAAAAACATTTTTTGAACATGAAATGGTTAAATCGTCCATGACGCAAAAAAAAACACTCTACCGAATAGCGTGCATCACATTAGATATTTATAGTACAGTAGCCAAGTCGAAATATTTTTCTCTTGCGTTCTGCGCTGTATATCGTTGGAAATTTCCCACGACATACAGGTGACTAATTAATTATATAGAAAA